TTAAAATCAATTATCCATCTGGTACACCCATACCTCGTGCCGGCTCAAATGTGTATTCATTTCAGCAAACATACATCGGCACAACACAATAAAGATAAATGCCCCGATTAGAGGCAGTAAACAAAGGAGCTAGGGATGGCTTTAATGAGATTTGGCACAAAAGGAGCTTACACTTTCTTAAATAATGAGCCTAGGGTCCCTTTTTCCAAATGCAAATTATATAAAGGAATGTTTCGCTGCCCTTGTTCCAATTTCATTTAGATAAGAGTGTCTCCAAACAAGTTGGCTGTTAATATTCTCACATGAGCACATCACTGCCTTCCTGCTTGGCATCTCCCAGCGGAGGGAAAGAGTGCTCTCCTCTCCGCAGACACTTTAGTCTGTAATAAGTTCTGAAAAGTTCACTGTGCTTGTTAAATACTTTGACCAGATGAGATGGAGCTGGGAATGGCTTCAATAGAGTTGACAGACGCACTTGGCTGGACTCATCAACTGTTTTAGCACCAACAACTGTATAATCACTTTCAGAGAAAGGTCAAGAATGCAGTAACTGAGACAATGGAAGTAACTTTGCACAAACAAATGAGGAGATGAATGTATAGAAATTAGCTAATAGAAATAATTTGCTGCCTTTCAGAGTACAACAATTTATGTTGTTTGTTAGAAACTGTAAAGCCAGGAAATTATGGGGAAATTTTTTTTTCAGTAAATGTTTTAAGCTGCTTGATTACTGAAATAATTCAATCTACGGTGTTGCTATAGTTTTTTAACACTTAAAACGATCAGAAAATTAATTTTGTATGATGTATTTGAGCAGTTTGCATACATCCTTGAAGGGATCCAGTCACAGACTGTGCCTATTAAAAAAACAAACACCAACAACCTTATGTACATGTTAAAATAAAGCAATTTATAAAGAATATGGTGCAAATGCAGTAGAAACATTGAGTTGAGTTCTATTTAAAGAGATTTGAAAATTCACAATGTAGGGCAAAAATTATGTTTACAAGTGGGAGACTTGACTAGACTTGATTAGAGTTTCAACAGTTCAACAGTCTGATGACAGCGAGAAAAAAGCTGTTGCAGAACCTGCAGGTCTTGCATCAAATGCTTCGAGGCCTTCCTAGAGGACAGCCTCATAGTGTTTACTCAATCACTTTAGAACCTGAAACCTTTTTTTGCACCATACTCGATCAAAAGAAAGGAGCTTTGTTTTACACTGTTGCTATGTGCTGGCAGATCTTACTTTTCCATCTACGTGCTAGCTTCCTCAGCCTTAGCTAACACTTCAATGAACATCAATGTTTATATTGTATTCCAAGCACTTCACTTGTCTTATCCCTCTTGGCATCCATATTTTCCTCAATTTTGGACTTTTCTTATTTTTTTCCACGCCTCTTGGAGAAAAAATGGCTTCTGCTCCATTTCTTACTTGTTTACTGTTGTGACGATGTGAAATATCTTACCTCAAGCCATGTGGTCTTCTTATGTATGCTTAAACTTACTAACAAATGGAACAAGAACTAAGTAAAAAATCTGAGAAATAAAATCTAAGCCAACAGGAAACCACAGTTCAATCAGATAACCTTTATATAGAAACCAGAAAAAGCTAGTCACAAAAATGAACCTTTTAATAGCCACACACCTGATATAAGATTATACCCATGCCTCAGAGGAATGCCAAACAAACACATTTCTGCATGTTGAATGGTGTGCATTTATAGGGTGATATTACATCTTGGGTTTTTAAAGATGAAAGAAAAATAAAACATTTAAAATAAAATTATGTGTAAAGCGTAAAGAAAAAACCTAGATGTAATTTAAATGTACAATGATAACCACTGTTTGGTGAAACGAGCTGATAACCCTTTTTCTGCTCTTAGGTGGCTAAAAAAATTCCCGTCTGTATTTACTTTACTGTATTTAAGAATCTTGACATGTAAACTAAAACAAAATAAAACAATGCCAAACATAGTAAAAATGTATTTGGAAAATAAATAATGGAAATAACTTGAATCAGTTTAAAATGCACCACTATCTAGTAGTAAACATGCTTCAGCATTGAATTCATCTGCTTTAGGTGGGAGGAGCCATTTTCAGGTACCGTTTGTTTGTAATGGAAAAGGACTTTAAGTGATGGCAAATCCATTTGGTTTAGCCATACAATCAAATTATTTGCATATGGAATGTGAACGACAAATAGATAGCTAGGTAGATAACTAGACACACAGACAGATAGCTGAATAGATGGGGGGTGAGCACAGGGGCAGGGAGGCAAAGAGTGCAATGGTGTTAAATAAAAAGGGACCAAGGCATTGGCTGGATGGTAATGAAGGGAGGAGGGAGGGTCGGCAGCTGAGGTCCCTGTAGATGAGATCTCTCTCTGACATGTGTGTCCCCTTCATTACCCATTAAGGGGGGAGCAGTGATGAATCCTTAATATGACATTACACCAATTTTCCTCTTCATTTAGTCTGCTAATGTGCTGGTCTGCTCCTATATGCCCAGGGGCTGCCTGTACCAGACTCAACCCGAAATAGACCACAGTGGCCACTGGTGGCACACCTTGAAGCAGCCTAATTAGGGGCAGCAACCACCTAATAGAGCTTTCTAGATGAGGGTTAGTTTACTTAGTTTGTTTTTCTTAGCAGGTAGAAACTGTGCGTGATGAAGCTCAGGGAGCTGGCGGCCAACCAGTAAGGCATGTATAAGGTGTGTATCTGACACTTGATTGTAGAGATATCAATTGCATACATTTGAGGGCAGGGATGCCCTCTGTCACCTTTCCTGTCTTTAATCTTTATGGCCAGCATTTCTAGTTTGCAGCTGAATGCAAAGAGGCTGGAAGGGGAACGAGGTCCTCTAGGTCAGAGGCCATGGTTATTGATGGCAAAAAGGTGGCATGTTCCCTTTGGCTTGGATGAGAGTTCCTGCCTCGAGTGGAGGAGTTCAAGTATCTTGGGGTCCTTTTGCAACCGAGTGGAGAATGGAATGGGAATTTGGAAAGATGGATCAGTGCGGCTGCTGCTATAATGCGGATGCTGCACTGGTCTGTTGTGGGGAAGGGTGTGCTGAGAGAAAACGCAAAGCTCTAGATTTACGAGTGGGTCCTAAATCCAAGAACTCTAGATTATGAATGAAACAACGAGATTGCGGATACAAGACACTGAAAGGAAATGTCTCTGCAGGGTGGCTGGGCACTCCCTTAGAGATAGGGTGAGGAGCCTGGTCATTCAGAAGGGACTCTGATTAGAGCTGCTTCTCCTCCACATTAAGACGAGTCACATGAGGTGGCTCTGACATCCTTTTCTCACACTCCCTGGACACCTCTCTTAGGAGGTGTTCCAGGCACATCCCACCAGAAGCAGACCCAGGACACACTGCAGGGACTATTGGGCACATTGGGGTCCCCCAAGCAAAGCTGAAACTAGTGTCTGGGGAGAAGGAAGTCTGGGAGTCTCTACTGAGACTGCTTCCCCTGCGACCTGGTCCCTGATAAGCAGACAATGATAATTAGGAGCAGGTAAAAAAATCTGGTTTTAAACAAATAAAAACTGAAAGAAATTGTATTCTGTAATATAAAAACAGCTCTTCTGTAAAGGGTCTTTAGAGGACCAGTGAACAACCAGCACTATGCAGATTTAGGAACACAACAGACAGGATAAGGAGAAAGTCTGAAGCGTCTAAAGTCAGGGTTAGTACATATATTGTTTGTTATAAGTTATAACAAACAATAATGACACCGAATATATTTATCAATTGACCATGCAAAAGTGGAGAGTATGGCAAAACTGCACCCCTACCAACACATGAACATTCATCTACACTTTCATGAAAGGCAAAGAGAGGATAAATCAGAGAAGCAGCCAATATGCAAATGTTAACTGCAGAAGATGCAGAGATCTAAGGCTCAGGTGAAAGAATTTAAAGGCAGATATGACTGTATTGGAAGGGTGGAAAGAAGACAACCATTGTGGAAAGAAAGCCATAAAAATATTTGTTAGCTTTTTTTCCATAAGAGATAACATATGGAGTTTGATGATGACGATGGATGAGTCTAAAACTTTCTGCGATTTATATTGTTGCAAATAAGCCTAAAACTCATCTCTTTGGTGACGCACAGTAATAGTTTAATCCTGTGGGAGTGGTGATCTTCAGCAGACGGTAAGTGGTCAGGTTATTAAAAGCTAAATAGGAATGAAAACCTATTTGAAGCTGCAAAAAAAATGAGACTAGACTGAAGAGTCAGCCTCAGGCAGATATATGACCATGAACAGACAGTCAAAGCAAGGATGGAATGGTTGGGACAACACATTTGCCAAATCAGTGGGAGTGGGTTTTTTAGCTTACAACCTTGGAATCCTGAGGTTGTGAGTTCGAAACCCACTCCCGCAGACTGCCTCTCTGGGTCTCTGAGCAAGACCCTTAACTAGTGCTGCGCCGATGCCATTTTTTGGTCCCGATACCGATACCTGGCTGTGCAGTATCGGCTGATACCGATACCATAATAATGTAAAATAATTGCCATCATGGCTTTGTCGAGCTGCTGCCTACCTTTGTGAAGCAGGAAAAAATCTATTACAAAGTGAATCCAGTAGAACTTTTTATTGCCTACCAGGAGTGGGTGACAATAGTTGAATAAACATATGGCTCTCAAAATGGTATCGGTGCCCTATTTGGTGGTACTCGCCGATACCGATACCGATACCACCATTTTAGGGCAGTATCGGGGCCCCGTCCGATACTGGTATCGGTATCGGTGCAACACTACCCTTAACCCCCGATTGCTCCCCGGGCGCTGCACAGTGGCAGCCCCCTAGTCTGAAAAGCTGAAGGGGTAAAATTCCTTTTGATAAATTGTAGACATACCCTGAAAGACATTGCAGAGGTTGCAGAAAGTAGTTCTACATATCTGTCTGATAATGCATCCTATTCTATCAACTTCACAATAATGTATTCATGTATGTAAGTTATTGACAGTAAATTTGAAACCAACTCACTCAGCATGCCCATCCCCAGCATGAAGGCATCCATGGTGTAGGGCAGACCCCTGGCTCGCCCTCGCGTACCTGGTGGGAACATCACCTCCTTGGGCTGGGCCTTCTTACATTCTACCTATGTACACAGACAAACACACACACAGATGCACACAGACAACCCATTAAACTGTGTAGGTACACAAGTAGACAGATCTGACAGGGCTGTCTCAGCTCTTAAGGCTGGTTTTGTGTCTGACTCACACACAGCTAGATGTTTTCCATAGGAGAGAAAGAGAGCGTGAGACAGGGAAAACACAACTAAGTCAAACTGGACTCACATTTTAGAGAAAAGACTCCAAGGGAAAGTTAAAATCGTGCTCCCCCTGTATTAAAGCAAAGGTTACTGCTCCAGTGAGCATGTGCCTGGAGCCTCAGGGAAATACAAGCTAAAGACTTTTAAGAGTTTTGAGACATGAGAGTAGAATAAGCTGCTTCCACTATGCAGAGTTTTTGGAAGTCAAACATTATAAACACCAAAGAATTGATAACTGCAACAATAGCAGTTTAAATTTAAGCAAATCTAGTCTTTCACACAGTAAAGTCCCTTGTGTCCCACAGCCTTCTTCCACCTGCAGCACCCATCTCAACTCTGCATTTAATCCTCTTGCTCTCCCTCTCACACATATACAGGTTTGCTCATTTTCCCATTTAGCAAGACTGACATTCCCTCCTCCTACATAACACATATCAAATGAACGATGTGACAGGGGCAGATGAGGGGAGGAAGAAAGATGAGAGTCCTATTTACCACGTATCCATCCTATCTGTAGGAATTATAGCAGCTGACAGCGTTGCCGCGGCCCTGCGTCTCTCGGTTGTTCTTTGGTAGGCTGAGTCCGTTCACCATGCTGCACAATCTATTTGCTCCACTGCCTGCTTGGCATCAGCCTGTCCATCTGTTTGTCTGTTTGCCTCCTGGCTCTTGCCGGCTTCTCCCCACTGCCTCCACTTAAGCGGGGCTTTCTCGGCTGCTGCGATTCACATGTCATCCCGGCCTGCTGCACAAGACAGGCACCTGCACCGCTGCAGCATGCACATCAGCTAAAGGTATAGCTCGGCAGCCATATAAATAGGTCTGCAGCTCCTGACAGGCCAGGGGTGAACATTATTATTCACACGAAGCGGTAGGCACAACATGTTACTGCGTTTTTTCCAAACTGAAGAAATACTTAATGCCTTGAGAGGTTTTCGTGCTGAATCAATAGTGTAACAAGCGCTTTATACTACATCCAGGGAACAAGACATGTAAAAAGAGAACACTAATGAAAAAGGTTTCCATCACAGAGGGGAAGCTGCTGCGTTGCAAAGCTGTGATTTGTTGCTGTTAGCAGCCCCTTTTATTTGAAGCAGACTGACTAAAATACACAGTTCCCTCAGCCACTTTGTAGCTGTCACAGCCACTCTGGCCTCTACATTCGCCTTGTGCGGTTTGACATAGTGCTGAGGCGAGCGCAGGCTCTCCTATCGTCAAGAGAATGACCCATGGAAACAGGAGTTGGCTGGGACTTCTGAGTGTGTTGGAAATCTCAGCACACTGCTGGGATTTTCATATGTTCACATGGCTGAGTGACAAATGCAGTCGAGTTCCACCCACGCCGCAGACACGCTGCCGTCTGATCAGCCGTCCTTCTGTAACCCCTGCCACTTCCAGCGAGTTGGACGCTCAGGTGGCCTGCTGGGGGTAAGACAGAGCCCCGTGTGTGAGTCATGCCTACATGCTCTCAGATACGAGTCTTTGATATTCATAGTGAGGGCTCCTTGTCATGGATTTAAAAATCCAGTCAGAAGCGTAGATGTGTGGTGGTGTGAGTGTGTGGGTGTTCACCTGCTTCACAGACAGGGAAGTGTGTGAGGGAGGCAGGCAGGAGCTTTCAAGATTCAGCAAAGTTGAAATAAAACGGGAAGAAAGGGAGAGAGGACACGGAGACAATTCAGCCGCTGTGAATGAGAAGCTACAAAAGAGGTTCAGCAACTGTGAGGGCAGAGATTCAAATTTTGCCAAGTGGAAAGTTTTAGCGACTGAACCTGAGCAGCTTAAAAACAGGTTTTGGCTTAGAGTATTTCCAAGAATTATAGCTTGTTGAACTTGTCAAGGACTTCTGAATTAAACTCGCCGCAGTGTGATGTACTGGGACCCACAATATAAACACCAAGGTGCCATTGTGTAGCATGGTGCCCTGTAGGGAAAGGCGACACCCCATTAACCTGCCTTGACTTTGTGGAGAAGGGGACAAAACTCAAAAGGAGAAGTGACTCAGGCTAAAACAGTCTCAAACACACAGTTACAGCTTTAAACCTTTCAGGCACAGCGTTCACAAGTTATCTAAACCTAGACGGTTTTAACAAAATCTGAGATGATTCTTCTATAAATGCCTGCATGCAATGCAAAACCTCTGAACAGTTAGATGTGGATAAAACCAGCTGTGCTGGTCAGACTTCACTACATACTATAGGGCAACAGGAGGCTTTAGATGATGCTTAGGCAACTTGCTGCACAGTTTAACATGAGTATTAAATAATCCAAGCTGGCATCAGGCCTAAAACAGTGTGTGGTACAAGTGGACAGATGTTGACTTATAGAAGACAGAATGCTCTGTTTAGAAGGTCTTTTACATTAATTAAGCATTTAGTATTGCACATCCAAAATATTCACAATAATTGCCATAATCTAGTATTTGGGAAAACTTTGTGTTCATTTATTCATGTTCTTATTGATCAGAATTAGCAGCATAGGTTTTAATTTACCTACAAAACTGTTCACATTGTCAGTAACAATGTTGGGATGGTTAACAGGTCTTTATATAAAATAAGAGCATCAAGGCAAGAATGATTACTTCTTTTTGCCTGTTGTTTCTGCATAGTTGGAAAGCAGGCTTGCACTGGTTGTGTGAACTGTTAGTGTGTCAGATGTTGAAGAATGACACCTTTTGCCACTTTTAATCTCCTTATTTTGTTTTAGAGCAGCTGTAGATGAACTAATAGTAGTTATCAAATAGGTTGTATCAGACTAATTGATATAAACTTATGCTTATTTTCTATATCATTCTAATATTGACTGGTCTAAATCTAGAAAATTCTGCAGAAAGGTATAACACAAATACATAGATAATGTTTATATATGGTTTAAGGTTAGGATATGATTTTCCATAATTTCCAGGATTATTCCACTCCAGCTCTCATTCTTACATATGATCTTACATTTAATTGAAGCTACCTTTTCTAGGTGGTAGGATTCTAGGTGGATTCTGTAATATGAGTGTACCGCTTCCTGCTGCAATTAAAGATTTATAAATCCTCACACTTTTAGCTCCATGCTTTTACTTGAATGCCATATTTGCTTTCCTCTGTTTCTGTGTAAATAAATAAATAGATCAGTTTAGAATAAGCGATCAAAGGAATGTGTTTCCAGAATTCCTAATCTCTATCTGGCCTGTCTCGGGCAGACTTTCCAGTTTTCCAGGGAACCAAGACTGCCTCCCATGATGGGTGGCGTAAGCAGTTTTCCTCCAAATGTGGACGCATGTATTTTCAAATCAACAGTATCAAGAACCTGCTGTAGGTTCTGTAATGACATTTTTACAGCATCTTGCAGTCTGCTTTTTAGGGTGAGCTCACAGTCGGACCAGAAAATGTCTGCAATTGTGTTCAATTTCCTCCCATTTTAGACAATATTTTAAAATAATAAATCGTTGATTTTCATTATTTAGAGACATTTTTTTATCCTTTTCAAGATATCGTCTTTTTATACTAATCTCAGCATGGTTTTCATTGTCATTATAACAATCAGGAGAACAACAGACTTATTGTCTGGGGAAAAGGGCAAATTTCCCTCAAAATGATGGCGCAGTAATAATGTGCTCATCATGTGTAACTAATGTGAAATACGTCCATGTGTAATTTTAAAGAGGCAGGTAAATCAGGCAAAGATTGTACTAAAGTAAGAAGCAGTGATTTTAATTACTTAAGTAAGAGAAAAAGATATTGGTAAATAGATTTACTGATCATAACATCTGATGTAATTTGATCAAAATGATGTAATCATAAAGAAAAATAATAATAAATAGAAAAATAATTTAATCATTTTAAGACTAGGAATGTCTTCCAGCAACAATATCTACTGTTTACTGTGTTTACCAGAGAACTCCAAATATAACAGAAGATATAAAATATCATTGGAACACTGAAGCTAATTTACCAACAACACGACTCCCTTTAGAGCAAACTAGAAGAGTCTGAATCGTTTGTTCTTCATTCAGTGAAGTTATTTGTCAATAGTTGAGTAGCCAGAAATGTATAATTCATAATATTAGTCAAATAAAAGTAAAGCTATGATGCAGTAAAACTGCTCCTAGAAGTTACTAAATATTACTCTCCATATAACTACGAAAGAATTTTAACCATGTGGAAATAAATTGTATTTTTCACCAGCAATAATTTTTTTTAACGAGATTTTACACAACATTAAGGAAGTGTGAAGTTGTCTAGTTATATTCCTTTTTTTATTTTCCACAATAAAAAGGATAAAACTTATTAAAATATTTACAGCATGCACACAGGCAGTTCTAGGATGTCCTTAATATTTCACGACTGTAAATCTACTGTAAATATATATCTACAGTATATGATTCTTCTAATATTATTGGAATAATTTAAAGTAGCAAAAATACATAAAAATTATACTTCCCTGTTGACAACACAACATAAAACAAGATAACCCTTAATTACTATAAAATACATATACTGCATAATAACTGGCCATGGTTCATATATTGTAGTTTTTTACATTTTTCTTTCTACATTCAAAGGGATAAACCTTAATAATCAATACTTCTTATCATATTTACAGCAGTTACTATAGTTGTCTTTATTTTGATTTAAAAACTGTCAGATCCAGTTTTTCTTTTGTTTAAATACCAAGAAACCATGAAATATTGGTATTTTACTCAATATTTTCATGCTGGACGAATGTCATATGTGAGCATGTGGTTTAGCTCAGGTTGCTTTTCTATATTAACAAACATTCAAGCTCTACACTGACATTATCACACAACCCAATAGGTTGGCTTTATGATGAGT